ATGATTGCCGGATTACAAGGAATAAACATGGAGATTTCCTTCGGGAATTTATACTGCAAGAATGTGTGTGAGTGTGTTGTTGTTGAAGACAAAAGGAGATGTTATTTGGTGGAGGAAATGCAGGTGCTTTCAAATCATAGTGCAATAAATTTGTCATGTTTGTATCCAAAGAGTGGCGGTAGACGTGTTTTTGCAGGAGGATCTCTCGCTGGAATAGCGCCGAAGAGAAGGAGGAAATTTCATTACAGTGGCAAGAATATATGATGAAGCTGGGCTGGCAGAGAAAGACTCCCTCCTTTCGCTGAGTGGGTGGCTTGTGTGTGCGGGGGTGGAGAGGGGTTGAAAATGAAAATTACATTAAGTAAAGTCCTCTTCTGGCATTTACATTTAATACTTGCATTGAGTTTGAAGATGAATTTCCACACTAATTATATGCATCTTGGAATTATCCTACCATTTCTCTCACTCTCTCTCTTCGTTGTTCATCAATTTTCACCCGTTTTCCTTCTGCACAAGTCCCCTGGAGTGCGTCCGTGTGAAAAATGACGTTAGAGGGAATTGTAATGATCTCAGGAAATTAAAATCCATGCAGGTGTAAGAGTGGAAATGAAGAGCGTTGCACACTTATTTTTTCCTCAGTGTGAAATGAATCCAAATGTTTTTGCAAAAGTCTGTTTGCCAGGCAGAGGATGAAAAGGGAGGACGAAGTGAAAAGGATGAAAAGGCTTTTGTGATAGGAGCCAAAAAAGGAAATTTCCATGGACGAGGGACTTCATAAAAAAATCATGGGGACAAAATGAAAATTTGTAAGAAGTACTTGTCCATAAATTTGTTTGACATTATCCTAAATTGTCAAATTTTTAAATAAATTTATAATAAACATCCAACACAGTGAGAGAGAGAGATAAGAAAGGCAATTTTGCCGGGGAAGAAGACCTTTGGTGTGATGTTTGAATAAAAGGTGGTGGAAAATATATGGGTAAAAGATGGTGAAATTGGATTAAATCCAGGGGATTTCACTGGGAGGGTAAAGCTGCAGGGCTAAGGCGAGGGTGTTCCAAAGATGCTCCATGTCGACGCGGTGTGGTGAACAAAGTCATACGGTTTCTGGGTGGGTGAGGAAGCATAAGATTCAGGGAAGTAGGGGCGACGGGGGTTGAGCACAATTTAATATTTATAGTGGTTTCACTACAATCACATTGACGCTGAGTCAATTTGAAAATTGTATTATGAAATTAGAGAGAGAGAGAGTTAAAAATGCACTCTTTTAGTGGCAAAAATCTATTATTAAATAATTCCTCTGTCAAATTGCTCTTCATTAATTCAATTCTTCGCTACGCTCATGAACAAAAAAGTATACTTTCCGAAGGCGCCACTGACTCTTCTTTACGTGTATGTTTTTCGTGGGGATTATATAATTCGCTTGTTAATTAAAAGTGGCTTCTTGTAGACCACTTTTGGACGTGCCAGAAGATAAACTTTGGTGTTTACCAGGCTTATAAGTATTCACTTCGGTGGAGAGACGGGGACTTATCTGTCGTCTTGTTTGCCTTATTATCTTATGTCGCTGCACCACTTAAAATCCATGGCAAGTTGTGCAGTGGCGCTTTTATCTATTCATTCACCCTTACTGAGGGGGTTGTTTGAAGTTGAAATTTTCGAGAGGAAAGTGTGCAAAAAAGGAGAAATACATCAGCGGTATGCGAGAGGAGGGTAAAAAAAGCACACCAGAGAGTGGAAAAGAATGCTTGCATGCGGGGTAAAGTTTTAGCATTGTTGAGGAATTCTTTTGGGAAAGTTTCCACGAAAGTCTTGACTTTTTCTCATTCTGCCCACACTCGAGTTTGTCTCTAGTTAACTGGCTGTCTTCTTTGCACCATATTTTGCCATCGCGCCACTGATCATTTGGTGGTTGGAATTGCTGGTAATTAATTGTGCAAAATGGTTCTCTTGCAGATGGTGATAGTTTTATAAGTAGTTTGGTGATCATTTAGAGAAGAATTGTCTGTTCGTCATATCGTTCTTTTCACTGAGATGCTGCATTGCGAAATAAACTGTGAAATGTACAGTTTTTCCTCACTTTTACCCACTTATCTTAATATGCATGGCAATTAATTACACTTAAGGGATGTGATTTAGCCTGCGGAGCCAGAATAACTTCCTGGATAGACAGCAAGAAAAATTCATGCTAATGCATCTTGCCGTCGTCATCTCCTTAAATGGGTAATTATGTCATAAATTATTCATGGTGGGATAGTTTTGAAGTGGTTGGTGATGAAAATGCGAGAGCGACAAACTCTCTAAAGTTTTGTTTGGTCTGAATGCTCTGGGAAAGTCTAATTAAAATACATTGGCGCCCAAGAATGATGATGAATGTGCGCATGAAAGTGTGGTATTAGGATAATTAATCATTCTCTACTCTTTCCCCGAAGCATAAATCGTGGGTGAATCCTGTGAGATTGAGGTGAGGACGAAGGGGTGGGTTTTTGAGCGACTGCAGAGAGGGAGAGAGAGAGAGGGAATTGAGTGAGTGATCCTGTGGGCAGAGGAAGTGCGTGAGGAAACGACGAGAGAGCGAGAGTGAGAGATCATATTGTGAGATTATAAGGTGTGAAATGTTGCTGATGAAGATGTGAACTCTCTGCTGTTGGGATTTTAGCATAATCATCTTATTATATGCTGCGTGCGGCTCAAGGGTGACCAAATGTGTGAAGGATGGAATATATACAATCTACCTCAAGATGAAATTGAGATATTTCTATTTATCTTGCTAATGAAATGAAACCAGAAAAGCACTATATCTTGGGTTGAGCTTCGCCGAGCGTGGCATTTTCCCGTGATTAAATATTGAATCCACTCATGAGATAGGGTGAAAATTAATTCAAATAGCATTGTAATTAGTCAAACACTCTTCTATTATTTATGCTGTGTGTGTGTGGAGAAAACACATATGGCGAAGGAGAAACAATTCTGAGGGAAGAATGTCTCTTCGTACGAATAAATTTGTGGTGTTGCATAGAAATTTTTCACTTGTGGCTTTCGTATTAAAGTACAACAAGGCGAATATGTTGACTTGCTAACAGATAAATAGATGCTTTCTAACAGACTTTAGAGAACTCTATCTATGGTATTTAAAATAGGGAAAAGTGGGGCAAATATGACTAGGAAGAAAGATAATATTTAATATCAGTTTGCAGTGAATTTTGTGGCTTATAAGATTGTATTTGTTTCTGAAACTTCAGGATAATAATAAAAATATCTGGTTGTGGTTGGTTAATTCAAGCATTTACCTACTTCTATGATTTCTAACCTCACTTTTTCTATGTTAAATCTGCTTAATGGGATCCAAAGAAGTTCTGAACTTCTTTACAAAAGCGATTGGGAAGTAATTTTCATTGAAAAACCTGGATAACGTTTGCTTTTGTATGATTTCTTCAAGCAAAATCAAGATTGAAAGCACATATATAGTTGACAGCTGTCAGATTACATGAGAATGAGATATTCTTTAAGATAAAAGGATTATAAACTGTATATTTGATTGTAAATTGACATACGTTTATGTATAAACAGCATAAAAATTGATCTAAAATCTACAATTTAGAAAATGGGATGAAAGTTGAGAAATATTGTACGAAACGACCCCAAATTGCCCTATAGTCACAAATTTTACATGTTCCACCGCATTTATATTTGAGAATTTTCCATTTTAATCCAGAGATATTTGTTGTATTTTCAAAAGTTACATTGCATTGTGTTTTTGGCTGGGGAAAGAAGGAACTGTGGCAGAAGGATAACAAGGAGACTTTTGGATTTCCATACAATTTCAACAAAGAGAATTTCGAGCATGCATATGAATGTTCGTTGGACGCTTTTTTGGGGGTGGAATGAGGGTGAAAAAGAATCAGTTCTTTTGCTATCGCATCAAAATTTCTTTGACCTTTTCTTCGACTTCCTGATTTTTCACCCTTGAAAATTCCACCTTTTGAATTGACTTCACAAAACTCTGATGGTGCTTTGCTGCAAATTCATAAATTTGGAGATGCGCAAATATGAAAAGGCACAGTAAATTTGACATGACGTTGTCGTATTTTGTTGGCGAAATGTGTATGCTATATGTGACAAATTGCATTTACACAAAATTCACCACAATTCCATATACACACACACACACACACACAGAATGTTCAATCAAATTTACCCGGAAATGAATGAATATGTGTGGGCGAAAGAGTAATTTGGTTTGGGAAAATATTTTGAGAGCACAATTCTCTGGGAAAAAGCCTTTCGGGCAGAGACAGAGAGAAGAAGAGTCTGCGAAAGTTGCTGACGAAATAGGGGCAGATTTATCAGAGATTACGAGATATTTCTCAATGTCAATCCTGTATTTTTCATCGGCTATTTCTCAAAACTGGGAAATTCTATTCGTTGTTGTCTGGAAGGCCAGCCAGTAGAGAATATATCTGATATTCTGTGCATTGCTGGTGGAAATTTTAAAATTGGGTTACACTCTGTGAATATTATTATCTCATCACCTTTTCTTCCACGCTGGAGGGAATTTCCCAGAGGCTTGGGTGACGCAGAAGGGGGTGGAGAAAGGTTAGGCAATCGATAGTGGCTTGAAAGCTTACGAGGAAGAGTGAGAGAGAGAGCGAGAGAGGATATGAGAATAAGAATTTCTGCTATGCATATCTCTCAAGTACCGAAACTATTCAGTGGAGAATTCTGAGACTTCTCTTCTTGTGCTGTGTGTCTATTCAAATTCTCCGTATTTTAATATATATGCGCTTGGTATCATCTTTTTTTTCCTCCATATTTACTCCCACTTTTGCATACAAAAAATTCCATATTTGCGCTCTCATCGCGCTTCTTATGAACTACATTTTCAAAGTGCATTTTTATTAATATCTCCAAGGGTGCAATTTTCAATGAATATTATGTTGAAAATGTGCGATTCTTTCCATCATCTTTCTACAACACTTTTTTTCTCTCTCCCTTTCCAGATTACTATACTTGGTGAATACGATCGAGTGAGGACATAAATCCACACAATCCTTCGGAAGAGAGACTATGAGAGGAGTTGCAATGCAAAATGTGGACACTGAGTGTCTCATGTTGTGATTGTTTCGAAATTTGGAAGCACAGCAAATGGCGAAGGAAAAATTTGACGGTGTCGGAAAGGGAAAAGTGTACGGAAAATGAGATTGGCGCTGAGAAATTGTGTTGAGGCGAAATTGGAGAGGTGAATTGGAAAAATTTCAAACTCAATTGTGCCATTGGAAAGTGTGTTTATTGATTATTGAATCGATATATTGTGTGTGGCATTGTGCATCTGTGGTTGAGGGGGTAGAAAAAAGAGGAGAAAATTCACAGTATCCCCTCAATAGATATTCAGCGTGTCATCACAAATAGTGAGAGAGACTCAAAACATCCTGCAATTTTTTTGTTGGTGTGTAGAAAGTGCATGTGAGGGGAAAAGTAGTCATTTCAGCGTTTATTTTTCAATGGACTTTTGACCCAATTGAAAACATTTTGTATAAGCTGAATTGAATATAAAAAAATCTACATCTCTTTTATGTCTGGGTAAATAAAAATGGTTAAAAATCAACTCATAATTCCTGTGAAATGTTAAGTGGATTATTTAATCACATATTTAACAATGTGTATTGCAGTTGAAGTGCATTTTTTGCATGTCGAAACATATAATAACTGATGTGTGTTTCATTTAGTGTCATTCGCAGAACATTTCAGTGAGCAGAATTGTGCAAAAGTGTGAATAATTGAGGAGAAAAAGGAGTGAACACTATGCGAAGTATTGTCAGTGATTCTTGATCGCGGGCGAATTGAGATTGATTGATTGCGGTGATGAACATTGACTGTCTCGCTGGCAATCCGTGATATTCCTTCCTCCCCACCGGCGAGAAGAGCAGCGTTTTGGGCGGCACTCAAGGAAGATGACTGGCTTGGAGACGACACCACTATGGAAGCCATCGGGTTCACCGCAATCGGAGAATTGCATTGAGAACGGCCATGTGATCCTGCGGAGTCCGGCACAGGCGTCAAATGGTGGCTTCGCCACCGGCAATGGGGGTGGAAATGTGGTCATGAAGTGCACATTGTACCTGTTGAAGAGCGTCAATTTTCGAAGATGCGTCGCCGCTCTCGTTCTAGTCACCGTCTTGCTGATCTTCTACTACACGAGCGTCGTCAATTCGCCATTTCCTGGGTGAGTTTCTTTGCCACTTGCTTTTGGTTTCATTTTATTTTATTGATATCAGAGTTGAAAGTTCCATTTGGAGATTTAGGCTTTTATATTCTTGAGAATTTGCCTGAATGTATTTTTATGAATAACATTGGCACAGATTATTGAAAAATAGCGATTAACAACTTCAAGAACAACTTAAGAGGTCTGATTAAGTAATTCAAGAGAAATTGAGTCAATATAAGGATAAGAAATCGACAAGTGTTTTCAAAGATTTCTGTGAAATGCGACAAACTGAAAGATTCTCTTGAAATTGGCACTCATTTTTATTTATTCATTTATCTGTTTTCATCTGTCATCGGCGCTTTCTGCAACTCTGTTATGCAAATTGAAATGAGTGTCAATAAGATATTCGTGATATATCATAATTCTCTTGTGCATTGACAAATATTTAATTTTATAGTGGAGACAGAGTGTCTGTCGTCAGTTTGACTTGTGTCGCTCAGTGCGCGCATACAAAGCGGTCGTGAAATGAATTGAATATGGGATTTCCTTTGACTCGCTTTGGCCATCGTGGAGACAATGCGCGCGGGCGGGGGAGGTTTAATGGTTATGGCAGACGACAGGGTGGCTTTTTTGGTTGTGTCACGGGTGGAAAATAGTTGCGTGTCAAGTGAAATATTATACTGTGTTAAAAATGAATTTATCAGGCGATTCTTTTTTGGCGAAAAAGTCTTTCCAGCAATGACAAGAAGATGAAATGGGAAATGATTGATGTGCATGTTTTCGGGGGAGGAAAACAAAAGGAGTCAAACATGCTTTCTCTTCACATGGTATTCTATATAGCGTGAGCAATTATTATATGGGAAGAAGATTGGGTTATGTGCGGTGTTGGAAAACATTGATTTATCCCCACAAATTGATTTCAAATGCAAATATTTTGATATGAAAAGGAAGAAAGAGAGAGAGGAAAAAATCGCTTGTTATCTTCAATGTAAAGACGTGGAAAGAGAGCGGAGAAAAATGGGCAGAAGGATTGTTTGATGACAGACAAAAAGTGTCTCTCAAGAATGTAATCATTTGTGATAAGATGTTCTTTACTCAGAATTAATAATTCGAATGAATTGTGTGCGGTGATCATTTTGTGGGCAAATATTCATATTTCTTCAAGTGTTCCTTTGTTGTATGAATGACATGAAAAATAGTTTGGCGAAAATATTGTCACTCTTCTTTGCAGAGGGAAAAAATTGTGTGATGTGTTTTTGATAAAAGTTTTCTCCTTCACGTCATGTGTGAAGGGGTGAAAAATGTGTTCAAAATACACTTCAGGCCATTTCCTTATGGATGATATCTCGGTGGGAATTTATTATTGATGTATCGTCTCTCTTACACTGAACTAAAGTCGATTTACTTGGCAGTGAAGAGTGTGATTTCCACCCTTCGCTCGCTTGCTCGCTGTGAGGGGTGAAAATGTGGGAAAAATGTAGCTGAAAATGTCTTTCAGATTGCATATGAATAATTGCTGAATGCATTTGGACTAGATGTGTATTGACATTAAGAGCCTGATAGCGAAGAAGCTTAAGAGTGAAGGAGGGATAATCTGCGTAGTGATTTTTGTGGGGTGTTTCGAGAGGGTTTTATATGGGCAATTATTGGGTTGTGAATTTTCATGATGATTTTATGATGCGTGCGCGTATTTTCTGCCGATCACTGGATTAGTTTTGGTGTCTAGTCGAGGGGCAAAAAAGATGTTCTCAGCGAATCAGCAAATTTGATTGATATTCAGCACATGATTAGAGATAAATCGGCAACTTAAACAAAGTTAAAAATTCATTTTAGTTATTCATTCCCATAGCACAATGAATAAATCAAAAAGCTTCAAGAGTAATAAAAAATGTAATGCAACTAAAGCATTGAACGGCGTATAAACGGCGGAATATTAATTTTTGAATTTGTATCTTTAGTTTTCTTTATACTTCTTCGTCAGATTCTGACCAGGAATCCTTGGATTTCGTTGTTTTACTCACAGCTTTGTGTCTTGTGATCCTTTGCAGCTTCATCCATCGTGACACGAGACCTTCGCCGCTGGTGAACTGCCGGATGATGAACGGGAAGATGGCACTCGAGGGCTCCACAGCGCCTGATCATCGCTCAGAGGCGAGACTCCGTATCGATCCCAAAGTGCTTGTATTTGTGGAGACCACGTACTCGAGGTTGGGTCGTGACATTGCAGAATTGCTTGTCTACAATCGAATCAAGTAAGTGGCAGCTTGACTTTCCTCATTTCGCATCCAATTTCCGGGGAAAAAGGCTCACACCCACGCGCCTCCGTTGCGGTGTGTTTGTATGGGGAAAGTGCGCGCGCGAAGGAGGCACAGGTTCATGAGGGTGACTTCTCCACATTGCCTCTGATTGGCATGATGCCACCTTTTGCTAAACATGAAACTTTTTCCCTATATATAGGCTTCTTTTCTTGCCTCTTGTCGTCGTCCGCTGTCAGGACAAGGGGGGAGAAGAAAGAGTCTGGGCATTTGGGGAGTGATAGGAGGGTCGCTCTTTGTTGTGTGCTTCACCAGTGACGATGATGTGGAGAGGAAAATGTGTATAGTTTTCTTCTCTTGTGCTCTTTGAACAGTTGTTATATGGCAAAAATATACACACATATTTGAGGATATGAAAGAATCTGAAAAACAATAACAAATATTATTCTTTCATGTCACGTTGTTGTGTGCAAGAAAAAAAAGAAGTTGAGAAGCGAGCGAGAGAGAGACAGAATGTCGATATGAAGGAAAATATATCAGAATGCCAATACAGAGAAATTGATTTCTCTGTGAAATATCAATTGCAGAGGAACGTCAAATATTTTGTTGGATGTTTTCCTTTTAAATGCACAAGAATGTCATATTGTGAAAGTCTAGAAGATTGATATGAAACCATTGTCTATTCGCATGTGAGAATTTTAGGGAAGATTTGCCCATAATTTCGGTGCTATCAGAAGAAATTAATCAAAGTCTATAAAATAAACTCTTCAAAATCCTTGCGTGTGTACATGTGTGATTAAGGTCTTTTGAACTCACACTTCTGGCATGTCACTTGCTATATAATTTGCCTATTGAATCGGAAAATTGCAGTCTGTGTCACACTCACAGGATGAATTCAACATCCCATGCAATTCAGCACTAATTGCCAGCCCCGCTCTTTTATCCACTGCCACAATCGCAAGAATGAAGAGTCAGCGGAATAATCAACCCTCGACAAACGCCCACTTTCATACTTGTGTCTCTGTGTATGTGTGTGTGCATAAAAAGGGAGACAATTAAATGCATCAATTTGCACACGATAAAATAAAATTATCCGTCAAATTTCATTCAACGCCACAGCCAAAAAGCAAACCCCAAAAAGGGTGCTAATTGAAATTGTTGGCAATTTATGCACATTCGAGCACACTTTTGACTAAATATTTTGATATTTGTGTGTGGAAATTTGCTTGTGGTTGCGAAAAACTCATCATCTATCCTATATAATGCTCTATGTTGTGTGTCATAATATATTTGCGAGGAGAAATTGAAAATCATAGAGCAAGCAAAGCAGCTTTTCATCGACATGAATAGCTGTACAGAGGAGAAATGTGTACATTAACCGCTGAAATATACCAAAATCCATTTATAGTGCTTTTCATTGCGTGGAGAACTTTGTAATGTATTTTAGGCAGAAATTTTTCTCTCAATTACATTTTAATCAGATTGAAATGGAAATTTAAGTTTTCAACACACACAATTTTGCAAATTTAACTATGGCAAATTGATTGCATTATTTAAAAACCACTGCAAATTCTTCACAATTATGAAATGCATATAAATTCATTTTTTTGTGATAATCACAGCAAAATTGATCACACAAGCAATCAATTTGATGTGATTCTTCCCTGAGTTTTCCGCTCGAAGGAGCGTTAAATCTCTCGTGTGGCTCAAGTGGGTGTCCTTCGATGCTCTGTGTGTGATGTTCTAGCGGCTTATCTCGCGTACAATATCTCCAAAGTGGGCGGTATTTATTTCACCATCGCATCCTGCCCCGGCAACTCTTGAGTCTCTGGTTGCAAGAGGAATTCTCCCTGCGACACAGGATGGAGAGATTGCTGGGGCTGATGGTACGTGATGCCCACAAATAAATTAGTACTTGGGTGAGCGTAAGGACGTACACAAAAGAAAGGGGACTCATTTAAGGGGGCGTGCGACATGAAAGATGAAATTTAGGTGGCGTGTGATAGAAAATCAGGGGGTTATTTCATGAGGGCTGTGAACTATTCAGGGTTGAAAATGTGAAGAATGCAAAATTGATTTGAATTGAAATTTCCAACTCAAATTCTCTCTGCAATTTTCGTGGTTTTTGGTGTATTATTTGCCATGAGAATGTTGTATTCTTACATTTTGCACACTTGTTTTCATATTCTATCGGTAAATAAGCACAATTTTTTGGTAACAAACGGAAAAATTCATTGAATTCTAGGAAACAACATTCATTTTCTCTTAATCATTCATAAGGTTTACTTTTGTGTATAAAATAATTGCAATAATACTAACAAAACTGCATCTTTTTACTGTTTTAGCTTAGAAAATCCTTATAAATCCGAAATTCCCAGATATTTTTGCATTGATTTTTGATGAGACTTTTTGACAAAAAGGAGATGAAACTATATTGCATACATACAAATTAACCTTTTAGTTACCCTTGCTTGATAAAGCAAAATGAATTGATTAAATTATCAGTGCAAAGTCACTCAGCAGAAAAATGCTGATTACTAGCTGTGCTTTTCGTAAGCACAACAAGAGCTTTTAGCCCCTCGACAGTGACAGCTTAAAGAGCTGAAATGGAATGTGTGCCACATGAATCGAGAGAGTATTCAATTTCACATCATCATTGCTTCGCCCATTAAATCTCAAATAAATGACACATGATGAAATTTTCAGTCATTCACATGCTTCCATGTCCCTTAACTATTTTTCCCAGGAGCAATAAACTGTGTCTGAGGGTGTGTATGTGTGTGGGGAAGAGTCACGACCCTTGAACATGGAGAGGGTGGCACCTTTTGGCGAAAATTGCAGATGGAGAAATGTCAGGGAAAATTAAAATGTAGTTCAATGGGAGAGAGTGAGAGAACTATAATCATTTTTCGCCCCCCTGAGAGTGAATTTAAAACATCCAGTCATTCTTTTTCTGCACATGACGGCGAAAATCTGTGCGGGAGGCTGTTTTTTTTAAGTGGAGCAGAAGAGCGTGAATTACCATAAATATTAATGAATATGTATGTGAAATCTGGGAATATTGGGCCAAAAGGTTTTTCACAGGCTTCACAATGTTGAAATTGCAGGAAGAGAGAGCAATTCAACAGTGAAAAAAGGGAGAAGTGTTGAGAAAATGCTTCAGTGAAAATGAAAATTTGAATTATACTCTTAATATTTGTTGATTTTCTGCTTTTTCTCATTTTTTTTCGTGTGCTGGAAAATGAGAACAGCAGAATATTTCCTCACGGTGTTTGCCTACAAAGTGTGTAAAATCTCTTTCCCATTTTCGCTTCTGTGTGTTTTTTTTCTCTCTCTCTCATCTCGTGCCTGAATTTGTGCGGGGAAAGTCGTGAAATTTACGAATAGTACGTGATGGTTTGCAAAAGTTGGAAAGACCATCCACACAACCCTTCTCTTTTCACATCTGAAGCCCGTGAGTTGTTGAAGAAGTTGAAAAGTTGCACTGTGCGGTGGTATTTATGGCAAAAAGTCTCTCGCTCACTACATAAGATTCATTCGTATAAATAACTATGTGGATTTAGCACTTTATTTGACGTTTATTGTTTTCCAAAAACACATTGTTGAGCGGGGAGAGCAAAGGAGCTTTTCTTCCCGCTTTATTGCAATGACTGGAGGAGCGATGGAATGAGATTTAAGTGACTCTGGTGTTTTGGGAGGGAGATGAAAGCACGAGGAGAGCTTTTTAGGTGGGTAAATAAAATGTATAGGAATTTAACTCAATCGTAGAGATATTTTGTTGCCCATGGAATGAGAATGGCTATAAAGTCTGTTATAAAGTGGCTTATTTTACCAGTGACTTTTATTAGTTCATTTTCTGCGCGCACACACACACAGAAAAATTAAAAATCATTATATATAGTTTTCATGGGTGGAAAAATTGCAGTAACTGGAAAATTCGATGGTAAATTAAAATTTTAGCCAACAGACATTTTCCACACTGTTTTTTTATGGTGAGAAATCACTGCAATTAGCACTAAATCAATGTCCATTGTGCGCGAGGCGGGATTTTGTGGTGGGCGAACCACAGTAAAAGTTCTCTTCTGTGCCAAGGGTTTGTTCGCCACATCACTTTGCCAATATTCAAATTTTTCCCCACTAAATTATGTGCACACACAACAAGCTGAAAAGGGAGAACGTGGAAAAATATGGAATTTCTCTTGTGGTTAACTCTTGAAAGATGTGAGAGAAAATTTTTTACATTCATTCACTTGAAAAATATATATATGTATTGCCAGAGTTCATTAAATTTTCGAGAGGAAGAGCAGTTGAAGGGGGAGGAAAAAGAGTCATTGAGCACAACAGGAATTGTCTCGGGAGATAAAGAAAAACGTGCGGGAGAAAATTAAGCTCCCAGGAGAAAGGATAATCCCAGGAAGCTGGCGGGTGAAAAAAACGTGAGACTCAATGCACAAGTGGACCTGTGGATAAAATTAATGATAAGAATTAATAATGCAGAGCAATTAAAATGTAAAGCACTATCCGACAGACAGAGTGGTGGTATTTTTTAAGCCGTCCTCTCGTTAAACGTTTCAATGGGAGAGTCAGAGGAGCTCGTGCAAGTTGGATATATTTATGTGTTAATTCTCGTACAGTCGTGACACTCATTGTCTCATCCGTGCCTTGAGTGAATTATCACCGAAAGAGATGTACACAGTGTATGTGTGTGTGTGTGTGTGTGCGGGGGGTTGATGAATTTAATTGGATTGCGTTGCACACAGGGTGAGAATGTGAGGTGAGGAATCGGGAAATAAAGTGGTGGATTGAAGTTTTCCGCACGTTCCCTCATTTGGTGGATGGCCGACAAAAAGCCTCCGCACTGTAAATTGATGGTTCACAGGACGAAGGATTGGGGGTGGGCAAAAAGAGGCAACTAATTTATGAGTGGCACAACTAACACATAACAGAGTTTATGCCACATGCGAGAGATAGCGCAAGTCGGGCTGATGGAGTTGTGTGTGAATGAATAGCAAATGATCTCTTGGCATTTTTTTGCTACATTCCTTCTTTCACCCTTTGACATGGTTTCGCACAATTTTTATTCATCTCCTCCGTGGCTTTCACACCACCACTCGTGTGCGTCCATTATCTTTGGCATCGCATGGAAAGCGGGACACAGAAGGAGTGAAGCGCCCAGGAAAGGACATCGTGTTTAGAATAATAAATTGTGGGTTTTTCTTGTTTCCACATTCTTCCCAGGGATGAGATTCCTGCACACACACACACTCTCTCTCTCTCTCCTCTGTGGCTTCATGTCTGCACACATAAACCACTTCAATGGACGATTTACATTACGAAATATAGAGGAAAATGAAGCCACGGGAAAAAAGAGTGCACATCGAGAGAGAGGGAAAAAAGCATAGAGAAAGTTCTCAAAGTCCCTGGTTTGGTCCTCTCGATGAGATATTAGCCAAATATAGGATCCTCATGAATCTCTTTCCATTTCATAAATTTCCATATTCAATTGCGGAAAGGGAATAATTTCTCGCCTGACGTGGTCTCCTTTTGCTTCATATGAAAAAATTTTACTTTATAATGTCATACTTTCCCTCAAGATTTCAATTTTCATCTTGTGTCTTGTTGCATTATAATTTTCAATTTTTTAGATTGAAATCACTCAATGATTTGGCTTTGAAAGTGGGCAGAAAAGTACCTATTTATGATATGAATTATTAAGTTGCACGCTTTTAATGACTTTCGTAGTCAATTCTCACGACATGTCATGCGATGATCATACGATATCTAGTGGATAAGTCTTACGACACACACTTTATGGTCAAACTCTTTATAATTCAATATTATAATTTAAGGAAAGTCATTTATATAAAACTAGATAAAACTAGTGAATTATGTCCGTAGACAATTGATAGAATGTCCAATGACAGGGCAAATGCCCTCAATTTTGCTCTAATTGTTTGATTTACATCAACTCTTTGGCACTCAAAAGTCCCTTCCAAACTTTAATGATTATATTTGAGCATAAAATGATTTTGCTGACCCAAAACGACCAAAAAGTCGCAGTCATTGGAAATTAGTATGCAATCTGATATGACGAATAATGGCCAATAGTGCCGATATTGCAGTTAGTAAAGTCCTCGGGACAGAAAATCCCGCACGGAGATCATAATGTGATAGATGTGGATGGAGTTTCACATATAATGGGATTGGTAATTCGAGGCGACACTGGGCGGATGATGATAAAGGTCAGATTTTCCAACACAATTTCGGGATGATTTTCTCATGTTGTGCTAAGTGAGGAGAAGGTTGAGGGTAAATGTGCTAAAATTCATGCGGTGTGTGTCACATTTGGACGCTGGATGAGATGAATTACAAGCTTTTTTTGTTGTTGTTGCTTCCTTTCTCGTGTCTGGCACGAAGGGTGGATGACTTGGGCTTCAAAGTGAGAAAAGAGAGGGTGAGAGAGTGCTTTTGTGCTGGTAAACTCCTTCCTCATGATGGTGGTGGGAAATATACTTCAAAGAATCATCTTTCTGACTGTTGCTTGGGTGTATTTTGCATAGAATAGTTTGAAATGCTTCACTTCTGACAGACAATTCGCTGGTTAAATGATGTGTGGGAAGGAAACCACGTGAATTTTCCACCCACAAAATGCAAAAGTGTGGCCATCAGAGGAATAACAGAGCTGAACAGAGAAAGAGAGAGAGAGAGAGAGAGAGAGAAATAATATACGTGAATTATTTATTCTCCATAGCTGTGTATTGAATTATTCCTCCGAACGAGGGCTTTGAGGTAATTGAGAGCGCAGGGCATAAAAGTGGCGGCAGTAAATATTTGATAGAACAATTGTGTTTTGATGCAATTGCGTAAAAACACCGGAGAATGCGTGGGCGAACAAACAGGATGAACACATCGAGACTTCTTCACTTCCAGGCCGTCGTAAAAGAAAAAATATTGTGTGTATAGAGAAAAGTTTGATTCAATTTATTGATATTCATGCCACATCATTGGCATCACGGGTTTCTTTTATGTGTCCACTAAATGAAACTATTTTATTTTTCCGGACTTCACCCGCCGTGATTTATGGCTCATCATCGGGTTGAGTGTTGTTATTTTTCCTCCTCTTTTTCCTCTTCCCGAAGCTCGGAAAATTATTATTTGCATAACTAATAAAAATGTTATATTGTGATGTTTAAATTAAGCGCACTCTATGTGAGGCTCGCGGGTAGAATTTTCAATTAAAATGCTATTTGATATGGACATTTTTGCCACCCCCTCGAAAGAATGCCAATCTCACATCACTATAGCGAAGAGAGTGTGAAAAAAACTGCTGTCGCGACAGTGAAAAATTAATTTTTACCCCCAGAATGCGGAGGAATGTGAAGGTTTTTTTTCGAGTCACATTAGGGATTCAAAAGGAGAGTGAATTTTCAAAAGGGAAGAGGCGAAATTGAGGAGAAAATCGTTAATTTTATTGCCTTATAAAATGAATTTATTGATCCGAAGGTAATTTCCGGGAAATAAACATCTCTCTCTCTCTCTCTGTCGTCTCAGGATATACAATGAAGGCGCACAAGTGACTTTTTGAGGCCAGTCTGTGCTGAGGGGAAGGATAAAGAAAGACGACGCTTGATGGGAATGAGGTTTCAATGATGGCGTGTGTAATATTGAAAGGTGGCCGGAAGGGAAATTGGAAGGAAACAATGGCAAAATATCAGCAATGTCTATCAATCATATTATATAATTTCTTCTTCGCCATGAAGAATTATATTGTCAAATTCTGCCCACCTTTTTTCCCCCAACAGACAACGAGAGAGAGAGAGAGAGAGAGTTTGGCTAGAAATTGATGGCAAGTGGAAGTCCATTCTGAGCACAAACTCTTGTCCAGAATCTCATCTTGAATTGAATATCTTCCGATATTGACTCATTCCATCCGCTTCTCGCCAGTTAAAGATCGATTTGGGGGTTTTTTGCCATTTCCTTCGTGCGGAATTCCATTCACATCTCTTGTGCTGAAGACACTGCAATTGGCCTCTTTTCCTGCTTTCACCGGTCATTGCCTAATTTCTTGCACATGTTGTTTTCCCGGAGGGCTTAAACGGATTTTCTCCATGGTCAAATATTCCTCTTTCTCCACTCCCTTTTTTTTGGCTCTCGTGTTTGTTTTCAACTTTCGAGAGAAAGAGAGAGAGATGAGCAAAGGGAAAAACCACTCCACAAGCATTTCGTCAACCCCAAATTCCTCCTCATTACTCAATTTACCCCATTCGCCGCCTTCGCCCCGCATGAACGTGACGAAAAGTTCAGGGTGTAATCGCTGGCACGGTTAAATGGCTCTCTTTTGATATGTCGCACCATCAATTCTAAAGTCCTGCAACATTTCTCACTCGACTTCGCTGTGTTCTTTGCGTTAGATGACACAGAAGTTACGCCGTGAAATACTCAAATTAGTGATTTTATCATAAGACAGGAAGCAATATTGAAACTCAAAGCTCATCTTTTAGTCTTTTTTAGGGAAAGGCGAGCCTTTTAATATTTAAAACCATATAAATGGAATGTATTTTTAATAAAATATCCGTAATAACGGGGAAAACTGCCCAATTTCGTCTTTGAATGAATATTCAAAAAGCTTTAACTGGAATGAAAAATTCTACGGAGTAATATTTTTGGCTATAATTTGAAATAAAGCAGTTTAAAGTTGAGACTTAGAATTTCTTTCAAGGCTTTTAAATAACATACGAGTTAGGAACGAACGCTTAAAGCTGTAACAAAGTGAGTTTTGACGAGAAAACACGTTTCTAGAACTCTTTAGAGCCCCGTTGCACGGTATTTTGACATCTTCGAAGCACTTTTATGGAAATTCTCTGGCTGAAAATATAAGTGTGAAAATTATGCCTTTTCATTGTTTTTCATCAACGATTCACAGCAATTTACTGAGCCTTTTTCCCCTTGACAAACTGTATACAATGAAGCACTCTTGCTTGGGCGGCGCATTTTTAATTGCAATCGTGTTTTCCTTCCTCTGTTGCACAGGTACAAAATAGAGGTGGCTGGCAAAAGTCTTCCGGTGCTGACGAATCTGGACAAGGGTCGCTACGGTGTGATTGTGTTTGAGAACTTCGACAAATATTTGCACATGGACAAGTGGAATCGTGAGCTGCTGGACAAGTATTGCCGCGAGTACTCGGTGGGCATTGTGGGCTTCATCAGCGCCAGCGAGGAGACGCTCGTGGGCGCTCAGCTGCGCGGCTTCCCCATCTACATCCACACGAATCTGCGGCTGCGCGACGCCAGTCTCAATGCACTGTCGCCGATTCTGCGACTCACGCGGGCCGGCGACACGGCGTGGGGCACGCTGCCGGGCTCCGACTGGGCGATCTTCCAGCACAACCACAGCACGTACGAGCCGCTGGAGTGGGCGCAGCGCAACGTGCTGGACTATCCGTCGGACGGCGTGATGCAGCCGCCGCTGGCCACGGTGGTGCAGGATCACGGCAAATTCGACGGTATCCAGCGCGTGCTGTTCGGCTCGGGGCTGCGCTTCTGGCTGCACCGGCTGCTCTTCCTCGACGCACTGTCGTACCTCAGCCACGGGCAGCTCAGTCTCAGCCTCAATCGTATGCTGCTCGTGGACATTGATGACATTTTCGTGGGCGAGCGCGGGACGCGCCTGAAGCCGGACGACGTGCAAGCGCTGATTGTGACGCAGAAGCGCCTGGCCAGTCTTGTGCCGGGCTTCAGGTTCAACCTGGGCTTCTCGGGCAAGTACTTCCACCACGGGAATCACGATGAGAACCTCGGCGACGACATGCTGCTGCGACACGTGGACGAGTTCAGCTGGTTCTCGCACATGTGGAATCATCAGCAGCCGCACTTGTACGACAACCTCACGAATCTCGTGGCGGACATGATGCTGAACAAGGACTTTGCACACGACAAGGGCATCCCGGTGGACTCTGGCTACTCCGTGAGTCCGCACCACTCGGGCGTGTATCCGGCGCACGAGCTGCTCTACATGGCGTGGAAGAAGGTGTGGGGCATCAAGGTCACGTCCACGGAGGAGTATCCGCATCTGCGGCCGGCGAGGCTGCGGCGCGGCTTCATTCACAGGTGAGCACGATTTCACAGACCACATAAGATGCCACAATCTGATGAGAAATGGCTGAAATGGCAATAGTTCTAAGAGATGCTAATGTTTGTATATTTTTTAATCTATAATTTTGATTTTTCTTCCAGGAACATCATGGTTCTACCGCGGCAAACTTGCGGCCTGTTCACGCACACGATGTACATCGATCGCTATCCTGGAGGCCGAGAGAAGCTGGACGAGTCCATTCAGGGCGGCGAACTCTTCCAGACGATCGTCTACAATCCCATCAACATCTTCATGACGCACATGTCCAACTACGGAAGTGATCGCCTGGCGCTGTACACTTTCGAGTCGGTGATCAAGTTCCTGCAGTGTTGGACGAATCTTAAGCTGACATCGGCGCCGCCGCTGCAGCTAGGCGAGACGTACTTCAAGCTCCATCCGGACGAGGTGGATCCGGTGTGGGGCAATCCGTGCGACGACGTGCGCCACATCAAGATCTGGTCGAGGAACAAGAGCTGCGAAAGCTTGCCGCGCTTCCTGGTCATTGGACCACAGAAGACCGGCACCACGGCGCTCTACACATTCCTCAGCATGCATCCCAGCATCGCCAGCAATCTGCCCAATCCCGACACCTTCGAGGAAATCCAGTTCTTCAACGGCAACAACTACTATCGCGGCCTAGACTGGTACATGAACTTCTTCCCAGTGCAGAGCAACGGCTCGGCCAAGTACATGTTCGAGAAGTCGGCAACTTACTTCGACGGGGACTTTGTCCCGAAGAGGGCGCACGCCCTCCTGCCCAAGGCCAAGATCATCATGATCCTCATCTCGCCGGCGAAGCGCGCCTATTCCTGGTATGAGCACATCAAGGCGCACGGCGACTTGATAGCCAACAACTACAGCTTCTATCAGGTGAGCAGCGGCTGTATTAAAAGGCGGGGCTTCGGAGTGGGCGGAGTCTGTTTGCATGAAAACACTGTAAATGCCTTCTTCTATGGCTCAATCGGCTCCTTCTCCACCGCAAAAGGGGCGAACAAGGTGTTTTCCCTCCACTTTGGTGGTGAGCAAACGATGTGACTGAGAGGCCATTAAATCGACATTTTGTGTGGCACGAAAGAAGGAATTACCCTTTTTTCTGTCTCTCCAGCCTCCAGCTTGGTGTTTTGCTCAGGGAATTCCGTCGCGCGGGGTTGTGAAGAGGGCTTTTCCACACACTCACGCATGAGATGTTGGAAAAGAAACAGCAAATTCATTGAAAATTTATTCAACATTTTAATATCTCAATTTCACACAATGTTTCTCACGAACAGGAATTTGTCGCTACACTTTCGCCCTCATTCCACATTCGCGCTTCGCATCTTCCGCGGACAATTTATGCAACAATAAATATTAGCATGATTTTTTTCTGCGTCTTTTCTGTCGTGAGGTTTTTCCGGGAAGGGTGAAATAATTCGACTTTGCGAGTTATGTGTGTGTGTGAAAAGGGCTGGAGGGAGGAAAAGGTGGGAGAGAGAGAAATGGCAGAGCATTTGATAAGGCTAAAAAATGCAGAAAGTATCCGACTTTTAATTTGTCGCTGTCGCATTCATTCTATGCATGTTTTAAAAGTTGTAAAATTGAGAATAATTGCTCGCAATTAATAATAGGGAGGGGAAATGAGGAGGATGAGGGAGTGATGTAGAGGGAAAAGAGTGATATTTTAACTGTAATTTTCCGCTCTATGCGATTTCCAATTAAACAAATTTGCTGAAATAACACGAAAAAAAAGTCAATGGCGAGTATGGAAAGGTACTAATTGAGGTGAATTTCAGGTAATTACGGCGAGTGATTCCGCGCCGCGGGCGCTAAAGGATCTGCGGAATCGCTGCTTGAATCCGGGCAAATATGCGCAGCACATGGAGCGCTGGCTGGCCTACTATCCTGCCCAGCAGCTGCACATCATCGACGGCGAGCAGCTGAAGTCCAATCCGGTAGAGGTGATGATGGAGCTGCAGCGCTTCCTCAAAATCACGCCCACCTTCGACTACTCCAGCCACCTGCGCTACGACGCCAAGAAGGGCTTCTACTGCCAAGTCATCGGCGAGACGCGGAACAAGTGTCTGGGCAAGTCCAAGGGCCGCCAGTATCCGCCCATGGACGAGCGGAGCCAGAAGATGCTCCAGAGGTAAGGCAACGAGGCCTCTTTGGCTCTCTTTCATCCTCGAATGAGCTTTGAAACGAGAGCAGACAATTAGAATGTAATCAATATCTGACCAAGACAAGTGGTTAGATAAATTCTTCAAGTCAAAAACCCAGTTTAGAACATGAAAAGCTGGAGCATAATGCATTGTTGAAAGGCACTAAAGCGCGTTTCTCCTGTTTTCAGGTACTATCTGAGCCACAACACGGCGCTGGTGAAGCTGCTGAAGAAGCTGGGCTCGCGGCCGATTCCGCAGTGGCTAAAGGACGATCTGTCGACGACGTCATAACACGCGGAGACGCCCGCCGAGGGGGCGCAGAGCCTCTGTCCGGGAAGCCAGCCGAGGAGAGCCTAATTGTATTTATTTGCGGGGTATATATTATATCCCGCGCTGTATAGCTTAATTTTATCCTTTCCAATTTACTCGGGCCGACAAAGTATTTAATTGCTATTACTTAATGCTATTCACACGACTGGCCATCAGATGATGCAAATTGCTCTCCTTTGACCCGCGCGCTTTCGCTCGCGCTTCCGCCCTGGGCGGAAAGAATGGCGGGAAAGTGGCAGGAAATGGCAGAGAATTGACTCGAGTGAGGAGCAAGGGGGAGAGATTATGGTCGACAGTGGTGTAAAGTTCCGCGGCAGTGTTGAGAAGTTGATGAAGAATGTTTTTCTAGAGTATCTTAACTAGATCCAATCAAACTTAATAGTAAAATTGTCCAAATTAATCGATCTTAAGAGTTTATTGATCCATTTTGCCACTAATAATTGCTAATTTTAGGGCTATTACAAGAGTTACTACCAATTTCTTATCGAAAACTTAATCATTGCTTTGTTCTTGTGAGGTTTTTAGGAAGATTATTAAATATTTCTCAAAATTTATTAGGATTGAAGATCGAAAGTATCTGAAGAAGTGTGATTTTCAGCTGATGTTTCACATTTTCGTTGGAAATTCTTATTATAAAGTTGTTAATTGGTTGTCAGTTGGTTATAACTCGGTTATTAGACGTTCCTAAGCTGATTTAACGCAATAAGAATACTTAAATCTGAGCGCAGTGAAGATTTTGCATGCAAATTGCGGAAGCGACAAGAAGTATTGTACGAATTTGAGCCATATTATCTTCCCCTTGGCGAGAGAGGCGCGCGAAAACCGTCCACCTGTCTATTTTCCGTCCTGCTGACTCCTCGACTTAATCCCCTGATTGCCTTAATCCCCTCAAATGCATTTCACACCAATATTCTTCCGGCGGCGCTCACTTTGAGGGACGTCGAAAGTGTGGGGAAAGTAATTTGAATGTCTTTCCGCGCGCAGTGTAGAAAAGCTCCTCTAAAGCCATGCGATGGAAAATGCTTGATGTTATAATCGCAATGCTGAAAGCTTTCACTCTTTCACGGAGGTTTTTCTAGTCAGTGTGGCGAGGAAAAAATAGTGGGAAAAACTCTCAGCTTTTTGCCAATTTTACTTTTGCCATTTGGACAACGAATATTTTTAAGAGGACCGGAAAAAAAATCCCTCGAGAGCTCTCAAAAAATAGTTTATTTTCCCCCCAAGTCCGGGAAAAGCCGCTCCAGTGCAGGCAAATCTGGACTGTTTGTGAGTCATTGAAAAATTGAAAAAGTTGCCGTGCAAAGTTTAGCGTTTTTGTTTTAGTGGTAAAATGTAATTCTGGGAAAAGCAGACTTTTGCATCATCTGCAGTTTTCGTGAATAGATCAACAAAATTTCTTCCAAACAGTAGAATTTTGTACTTTATCCTCATGTTTTTCTAGCTTTATCTAATTGTCCTTTATAGTGTGTGAATGGCAGAGATTGTGAATTTTGGATGGATCAGGGAAAGTTTCATGTCAATTTCATGCACAAAATTGATTGAATTTCCATGGATGGAAAGCTATACGTTAAAGTTTCACTGAATTGGCGCCAAAAAGTCTCTCTCTCACGCGTACATATCACAATTTTGGGAGAGATTTTTCGTGTGCAATTCAACAAAAATTGTCTTTTCAAAATGTATATGGTTGAAAGAATAACATATCGGGGAATTGTTTGAAAAGAGAAAGTGTTTTTTTTTGTTTGGAAAAGAATGGTCTAAAATGTAAGGATAAAATCATAAAGAAAATCGAAAAATCTATGCAAAAAATAATCCCATAACTTGAAATTGTGCCATAAAACTTAGAATGGTGAACAGGAGATTAATATCAATTGTAGATTTATAAAAGAGGAAAAGGAGGTGAGGCGAAAGCGCGAAACCAGTGAGAATGAATGGGAAGTTTAGAGGTGTAAGAAAATGCCTAATTTGGCGACAATTGAGCGGTGTAAATAATGAATAATGTGCTAAAAAAAATATCGATTTGAGAGGATACTAAGTGAAAAAAAATCATGTGGAAACCCTTTATTGACAATAAAAAGGTGGAAAATTACTCATTTTTTCTTGCTGTTTCTGCACTTCAATTGCTCACTTCTCTGCGATTCTGTTTTGAATCTTCGCCGGTTCTCGAGTCACGGTGCTTCTCTGCAGATGTCGCTGCGCGCATAGCGGAGTCGCAGCGCCACTTCTTCCACCGGCGGTGGTCACACGAAGGCCGATGACAGCGGTGTGGTTTTTTTTGTTTGTGTCGGAAAATCCGCCAGTGCAGCGAGTGCCGTCGAGTGAGGAGTTTTCCGTGTGAATTGTCGCGTGACGATCCAGAAGGATTGGCCCCCTAAATGCTTGAGAGTGTCCCCCGTCTGTTCCGTGCGATGTTGCTGTAGCGCCGCGCAATGTCGGTCCAAATTGCACGTTGTCAGATACTGAGAATCGACTTGGCACGCTTTGGATTAAAAACATTGGCTGGCGCCCAGGAGAGTCGAAAGGTAGGTCGGCGGAGCCTCGCCGGGGGCGCACGTGAAAAAGGGTGTGTTTTCGCAGCCGCACGGGCGCGACCAGGCGGACAATCTGGCGTCGGAGGGCGCTTTTGTGGGGGGGCGAAAAAGCACCCCAGAAGGCCTTGAACCGCCGCCGAAAGCTCATCTGCGCTTTGGGGCCCCAAAAGACGGCCGTGAATCTGTGAGAAAATTCCCAGAATGAGTGACTTGTGCGGCGAGTGATTCATGACTTATCAGCCGGTTCTGTTTTGCATGCCAAAGTCCCGCGAATATTTATAGAGGCACCTGCGGAAATTCGCTCGCTTATCGGCACAAAAGGCAATCGAATAGGTAAACAGAGTGGCGGAAGGTGGAAGTGACGGAGGACGCGAGTTTTATCAGACGAAATGGAAAGTGCAAAACTCACAAGAGTAGCAAAAGTTGCGATCTGATTAGATTTCAATTGATTTATCAGCAGCATTTTGTTTCCGAGCCTCGAGGAGCTTTCGCTTAGCTGGCCAGTGATTGGCTGACAGCGTTGACAAAAGCTCCAGTCGGCCAATCACTGGCCGAAGAGTTGCTCATGACTTTCTGAAATTGATTTACGATTCAGTGAAATTCGAATTGTTTTATCCGAAATCAATTTATCGCCAAAATATTGCCCGGATTTTTTTTTCAATTTCATTTCAATTTTGCGATCTGATAAAAGTGTAAAACGAGGGAGAATAAAGTGGGTGAATGACCTTAAAAGAGAATTATTGGCGTGCGAAGCAATCAAAACCGCCCAATTAACACATGTCATATGGGCGAAATATCATTTGAAAATTATTTTTCGAAATATTTCTCTCAATCTCATCAACTTTATGAGTGTATTTTGGTGGATCATCACGTTTTGGGTGGAAAAACACGCGATTTGAATAAAATTTGGATGTTGTCAGCTTCGAAAGTAAAGCGAAATTGAGCATTTTGTCTTCATCTAATGATTCTTTTAGTTTGTCTAAGAATAATTTGTGTATAATAAAATTACGAGTATTGATTGAAATTCTATACTAAATTTTCTACATTCTTCCAACATTAATATTTAAATATATTGCATTCTTGAATTCTTTATGAGCTATTGATATAAGTCTACATACTAAAGGCCTGAATAATAAATTTCTCCAAGCAAAAATGCAGAATGAGAACAGCATTGAAAATGTGTGGAATTTGACAATAAATTGATGCAAAATGAAATGTCTTTAATAAAAAGTACTAGCAAATGTACAAAATCTTGAGGAAGGATTCTAAGCAAGTGATAAGAAATGCTCAAAGACACCTCTAATAGACGAATAGACGAGGGTTAAATCCGCTTGATGGAATAGAGCTGCGTCAAAGTGTATCCAATGTCAGGGTCGACGAGATAAAAACATTTTATTCGGGACTCCTTTTGTCCTCCTTTTGCAAACGCAGACATCATCGTCCATGCGCATCTCTGCAGAGATGTTTGAAGTGCCCCAATTCGTTCCTCCAGCGGAATCTCGCATGTTTTCCAAATATTTGCTGCGGTTCTGCGGTTGTCACTGGAATTCACAGAGATTTCTGTGTGGGGGGGAAAATTTAGCAGCTTTTGAAGATTTAATCCAATTTATGTACGCACTGTGGCTGAGATTAAATGCTTTATGTGCGTGGAAAAGCCACCTTTTGGACATTTTCTCTAAATCATTGAACTTTTCCTCGTTACGAGAGGAGTTTTGTGCACATTTTGGAGAGTGCATTATTCATTCACGAGGTGCTTTCGTGAAATACTCCGCATTTCTCCCGTGGAGAAATGAGGGACATTTTCCTCGTGTGTTTGCTCTGCTGAGGAGTGGAAAAGTGGATCAAAAGTCGCGTCCGTCGTGCAAAAGTGACATATTTTCCATTGGCAAATTAAGAGGAGAAAATGTACGATGAGTGAAATGAGACAGTGTTGCTTGAGAGACGCGTCAAATGGGAATTTTCACACGACAAGTGCTCTTTTTGCCGTTGTGATAAGGATGAGGAGGAAGAAGTCCTCGAGGACTGAATAACAAATGGGCGGAGGGATTGTGAAAAAGGCAAAAATATGTAGTGAAACAGAGGGAAATTTGCTAGACAATGAGATAGTTTCTCGGGTCCCCAGAAACTCCCTCTCGGACCGTTTTTGGGGGGTGAATATCTCTCAATTGCGTCCCGCCTTCCAATTGAGGGATGAACTTCGCCATTCCATGACATTGTGCGTATCGCATTATCCTTCGCACATTTCTCTACCATCTCGATCCTCCATAAATTTAAAATTTTCCCCCCTCAATTCTTCGGGGCATCAACAAATCCACGCGAAATGGCTGAATAATCGTGTCTTCCTGATGTGCTGGGCGGAGAAAAGAGAGAAAAACAGTGAGTTTTGGGGTTTTCCTTCGCCAGCCAGAGGATGAATTTGAGAATTGAAAGTGATCTGGCTGCGCATGAGAAGCTAGGAAGACGCAAGAGACTTCATAAAGATGATCTAAAATTAGTTTTCCCGCGAGATTATTCTATTTTTCAACCTGCTCGCTGAGTCAAAGTCAGACTTTTTGCGAAAAAATATGTTCTCACATCCATTTGTGATGACGATTGTGGGAAAATTTTCCATTTCAGCGATTTCTCATACGTCAATGTTCATCAAATGGACTTTTTGGAGACTTTTCTAAACATCTGACAATTAAAATGTGGCTTTGAATGTTGTTCCGAGGAGTTTTAAATATGCAAATTGGGTGTTAATGAAAGTTTTCTTCCCATTTTCCAAAAAAGAAGGCTTGAAAGGCGAACTTTTCAATCAATTTTGAATATTTTAAAGTGTTATTGAGAAGTTTTCCTGCAATTGGTGTTTTGGGAGAATAGAAAGTTGTTCTTCTGCTGTATTGATTTTCGTCAAATTGTCCTCAGTTATTCGTCCATTGGGGAATTTAACGTGCAACTCTGGGCAATAATTCATGCGAATGTGTGTGTTTTTGCCAGCAAAATATCCAATTTAGCTTGTGAACTCATGAGAAAGATACAATTTGTCCGCTGGTGTTTGCAATGTAAAGGGAGACATAAGAATATATAGGATGAACATGAAAATATCTCTGCATGAATGACTGAACATGAATATTTTGCTTCACTGCAATTTTCCACTTGCATTGCTGAACTTCATAAGATAAAAAGCTCTCGTGGAAAATGATATTTCCGCGGGTAGGGAAATACTTTTGAAGATGCATTGCATTTCTTTGGGAATGTGCTGTACATTGTTAAGTGAAGTGTTTCATCCTAAATAAGTTTAGTGGTGAAATTCTTGAAGAATGTTTTCAGTGTGCTTCTCAGCTATGCAATTACCTCGTAATCTACGTTCAGTCAGTCAGTGTGAATATTTGGGAAGACGGATAAAATGTGAACTCAGTCAGTCAGTCTCAAAACAGCAAATCACGTGAATGTTGTAAATTTTTATCGCTCTATAAAATAAACACAGTGCAGCGACAGTGGAAATGACACATTTCGCTGAAATTAATATTGAATTGTCATTTTTAGTGGATTGATAAAAATTAAAGCACACTCGTTGTATTTTAAATGCCTTTCGTGTATGAGAATTCTTGATATCACAATCTCTCTTTCGACCTTAAAGGTTCATGAAATTTATACAGTAAGAGTTTATGAGCTCTGAAAGAGATCGAGAGAAGTTCTAATGTTTCGCTATTTTTCTTTCCGAAACATTTGCGAGCAAACAGAACATCTAGACGGCAAAAGTCTCAGACTGATAAAGGACAATAAATGCTCTTTAAAGAAGAGAACATCATCAAACTTTTTTTAGGATGATCAGATTGCAGATTGCTTGGCTTTATACAGTCTTAACAAGGGAAAAGTCTCGAAGCTCCGCCCACAAGAATGCTCCGCCCACCGTTTCGCTTTTGCAAATATCTCAAGTCGCATTCTTATCAAGTTTCTTCTTATTGAAGTCTTAAAGACGTCAAGGCAAGCTTCGCATTGAATATCTCATAAATTCACAGTGTTATTTGGAAGAATATTGAAGACGATACAAATGTCATTTTGAGGGAAATGTTGCATTTGACAGTATAGTAAATTGTGATAGATTCTCATAAATGGAATGGTCTTGTCATAAAATCAATGGGAATGTGTTGACGCAAAACCGAGAGGTTGTCATTAGAGCAATGCCACACACTAATGAGAAAATTGCGGAATATTTAGACACGAGGAATTGTCTCTCGGTTTAATGCATTTAAAAGTTCACCCTTGGCAAGGGCGGGGAAAGCGTTATTTGGTTATGTTGAGCGCTTTCGTATGATGAAACATTAAATTGTTGATAGACTACACCGCAGAGTGTGTCCTTGTTACGTGATGAAAGTTTCAAAAGTGCGCAGCATCGTAAAATTGGCGATGAGGAAAATTTCTCATGACAAATCATTCCACTTCATAAAACTGCCTGACATTTTAGCACATTCGGCGGTTACACTGCTCTCGTGGTATTTCCTGTCATTCATTCTTATTAGATATAGAGACGAAGAGGAGTGTGAGGCGGAGGAATATTAAATGGGAGCGCAATTAATTTTTTCCTTATTAATGTCCCATTTCTTCTGATATAATTAACTGATAGAGAGACAGAGTTGGAAGAGAAATGATTGTCATGGCGCGATTTTTGGGATTCTTCGTTCAGCTAAGCCGTCGCGCGCGCGGGGAAGTGAAATTGCGGTGACGATGGCGTTTCGAGTGGGTGGATCTGTGCGGAAGTTGTGAGTGAATTCTCGAGGGGAAGGAAAAAGAAGGTTGGAGAGAAAAAGGTATATGAAAATGGGACATGAGTGTTGGAAAGTTTTCCACCTCTTTTCGCTCCTCTCAGTGGCTTAAATAAGTTTGTTCATTGAATTTAGGAGATGGTCTTAATGTGAAGAGCACGAGCGGCGCACAGAAGATGGAATTACACTAAAAACACCACAGATAAAATTAAGATTCGTCAAAAACTTTCGACACTCCTTTATTTC